TGCCACCTCAACTTGTCTCAATCCCAGGTGAGACTCTTCATACATCAATTATACTAGATATTATTAACAATAAAGTCTTTTTCTATTTAATTTTATCATGATTATTTTAGCATTTTATTATTATTGTTATTATATATTCTATTACTATTATTTGATAAAAATAAAATTGAAATGAAAGGAAGCAAATAAATTATTTTCAGTTCCATTTTGTATTTTTGACATATACAGGTTAGACCAGGGGTTCTTAACCTCTATTGTTCTATAGACCCCTTTTCCAGTCAGGTGAAAGTCAGGTCCCTTCTCAGAATAATGTTTTTAAATGCATAAAATAAAATTACAAAAGAAATCAGTTATATAGAAATACATTTATTAAAACAAAAAGCATTTGATATAGTAATATATATGCTACTTTCTTAACACAATAACTAAGAAATCATGCAACTTTGTCATGTGGCAATAGAATTGAGGTAGGAGCCTCAAAGAAAGAAGTGATTCTTGCACTTGTTAGGTACAGAAGAGACAATCCTCCTACCTGCCAGCATGATAGATGTGCAGTGGCATGTTATTTTATGGGCAAAATAGCATTTCCCTGGGGCTCCTACCAATAGGGGTCCCAAACCAATCTTTTATAGAAAAATATTTTCCCAAAAAGCTTCCCTTAAAGAAAAATGTCTGAAGTCAACACTGTACATGGACCCCCTAATTTAAATTTGCCTGGGTCCCACAAAGCTATAATGCACTAGTTCAGATGCAATCCTTGCCTATCAGATATAGAGAGATGATCCTTGCACTTTCTATCATGAAGAGGCAATCCAAGAACAAAATAATCAATGAGAATTGCTTTGTTCTTATGTTTTTTTTTTTTTTGTTTAATGCATCTATTTTCTGTTAGGTCCACAGAATATTGTTTTTTGTTTTTATTTGAGATCCCTAAATTTCATTAAGCATGTTCAATTGTATCAGAGAGCATGGACATTGTAACTTTGACCCTGCTATGTATTGAAAATGAAAATATAAACCCCTATTTTTTTACATTTACATGGACCTTCATTACATTTTTGGATTCCCTATCGCTATTAATGGAATATGGCAAAATTTTATTAAAATTGGTCCATCAAATTTTGAGAAAGAACTCAATTCTATAAGCCTATAGAAGATGTGCTTGCAACCTTGGGACACCACCCAACAAAGTTGTGCAATTCATGTAATATTGCTTTGTTGCACATGCTCACGCTACAACCTTATATCTTGAAAATGAAGTCATGGATACACCTTTTTTATTGAACTTTTGGATTCCTCATCATCATAAATGCAAAATGGCAAAATTTAATCAAAATTGATCAATCAAATTTTGAGATCAAAAGCAATGTTGTAAGCCACATAGAAGAAGCTTCACTAATGTTCCACCTCAATTAACAATTTCATATAATAATAGAAAATTAAGATAAGTTCATTTTTGCTCTTCCAAGCCTACAGACCCCTGAAAACTTTCTACACACTCCCTGGGAATCTGTGGACCTCTGGTTAAGAACAACTGGTTTAGACTATCATAAGCAATCCACAGCATGTGACAACGAAATATGTAACCTCTAGGGCAGGCATGGCCAACATACAGCCCGTGATTAATCTTTTAATATTAGTCCAAATAGCTTGATGAAAAAAATTCTGACGACTAAAAAAAAAAGTCAACAACTCACTGTGCGTTTAGAGTTAACCCTTCATTACAAATCTCATAAGTACAGCATAGAATATTAGAATGTTGATAAAGCATGATAATGTGAAAAATGTATCTGTAATCTCTATGTACTATACAATTTAGTCTCTACAGGGTGGCACCACAATGAGATCTCGTACCACATCAAAATCTTCCTAGGGGCGGCCCTAAAAAGATTTTGAGGTGGTACGAGATCTCATTGTTCAGCCTGGTTCAGCCTGTGAAAAAAGTTCTCTTTCCAATTTGGCCCAGGGACAAAAACTGTTGGCCACCCCTGCTCTAGGGCTTTGACTACATAATTTAATTTCCTATTTTCTACCTCATGGTATTAAGCAGATATATGTGAAAAACATCATTTAAATTAAATGTGACCAGTGAAAAAAATGAGAATAAACTATATATTACTATTTCCTTAAAAATTTTCAAATAAAATATGCAAATTTAGTGTATGTATTGCCCCTACATTATGCAATAAATTAAAAATCTATTTCCTAAAAATAATAAAACAAAAATAAAAAAAGGAAAAAAAACACTGGAAGTATAGTTTATAGATTACAATACACATGTCAATCTCAATATTATTATATAGTTAAAACAGGTAGAACTTTAGGTAAAAGATTAAAAAAGCATGAAGTTCTCATATCTCTTAAATGTCTTAAACAATCACCATATCGTACAGAACAGACAAGATGAGCTGTACAATAGATAAAAATTATATAAATATCTTACATTATGAGAATGATATATATAAAAGGCAATTTTAATAACATGTTTATGCAAAGGAAATACTCTGAATACTAGTGAAGGAATGTAAATTACCAAGAAATAATGTGATATAATTTCCATGGTAGATACAGAAGAGACAATCTTCCCATGCAATTGCGAGTAATTCTAGAAACATTAAACTGAATCTGTAGAAAAATAATATAATTTGATCTAACATAAAGTTTTATTTTAAAAATTGGCAATTTATTCAGGCCAAAACACTTTTGATTTAATGTATTGGCATTAATTATTATTTGTACTTAATGTATCAGTGTTAATAACATTCTGTGTCATGTATTTGTATGTATTTGTTCTTAAATGTATGGTTGCTGCAATACAATATAAGGAATTTTTAATCTTTATTATAATGTAAATAACTTTATATGTATTTTAAATAACTTCAGTTACTGAAAAGAGGCCTTAACATGAAAGTTGGCCTAAAATGCATTTAACAATGTATGTAACCAGCCAAATAAATTGAAGATATTCAATAGAATTCTATTTTTGGATCAGCAAATTGCCAAGAGTATTCATACACCTGCAAAGGCAGGATTGTAAAGTTTAAAAAAATTATTTAATAAGAGTGTGTATGTATACTGTCAGAATTTGCATATTTTAGCACCTAGTGTACTGGCAGTTGTGAATTATGTTGGTACTCCGCAGGCTTAAAGACTGCAACTCCAGAAGAAAAAATGCTTGTGGCATGTCAGACTATAAAGTTTGCTTGCTGCCCAAATCCAGAAAAGGTTGCTCATCACTGGTTTAGACACTTCTATCTCAAGTATTTTGTTTTGTCCATTTCATTTATTTTATAATTATATCCACAATGAAATGCTAAAGGAAATAAAAGAAATGGGGGAAGAAATGGAATATCTAAGAAAACATCTAAACTGCATATGGGCTAAGTGACATGGTTTTAATGACAACTTCAGGAGGTACAGAATATACAGTATGAAGGTTACTTTAAAGTAAATTTTAAGAAATTATTTACTGTAATACACACAATTCCATAATATAATTAAATTGTTGATTATAAATATCCCATAGATATTATAAATAACTATAGAAAGTTAAATAATATAAATAGTAGTTTGTACTGTATGTTTAATTGTTCTCTAAATTAATACTTTTATAATATTGCATGTAGTTTCATTTGTTGTATTTTTACTTAACCAAAATAATATTTAGAGAAATTTGTATTCTACCATAACACAGTTGTCTACTTGAATATAACACATTCTAATTCCATCAATTTTGTTAATCTTGACAAAAAATATTTTATTCAAAATCATTTTAAGTATTTCATTATAATTAGTTTATTTTATTTATTGTATTAACATCAGATAATGTTTTTTTTTTAATTTTCACCAATTATAAATAATAAAATTTTTATATTTCATAATTTAAAATATTACATTATTGCAAATAATTATTTTCTATAAATTGCATAAATTATCTACATTTAAAAAAATTAAGGTTAATTTAAATTTTATTTCCAATAGATTTGATAAAAATTGTCAGGACAAAATTTTAAGTTTACAAAAATTTATTTTCAATAGTTTAATATTCCAAAATAATTGTAGATTTATAAGGTCTCTGACAAATTGTATGATTCTGCAAAAAACAAAGTTTTAATGTAAAAAAAAAATCTTTAAATGAAATACTAATGAATAAAAGTTTCCATTAATGAATATTTCAAATAAACTCATTTATTTTAAATTCTGTTGACATCATTAAGTTGAAATCTGTTTCCTGTATTTATTTCTGGGATGCTAGATATTTAACTTGTTTGTCATTAAATCTATAAAGAATTCACAAAATTTAATTTTAATTAAATATACAAAATATTTTATTTTTTCAAATTAAGAGATTCTTGAAAAAAATTAATTGTAAAACCTGAATGGATAGTAAAATAACTTTTGGGCTACAGTTAGAAAAAATTGTAACCTATAAATTCCCCACTGTTGTCCACTGTCTGTCCTTCCTTAATCTCAAGAATGGAGTTAGATATATGAAAGTTGAGATCAGATATGGTAAGCTTAGAGGCAGGAAGTCTCAATTAACTATAGTGAACAATTAACTATTGTGAATTTTGGTTTCTATTGGAAGTCATATTATTTCAATTAAAAAATTTTTCCTGAAAAAAGTTAGATGACTGGCTATATTGCTAGCAGGAAAGTATGATGCACAGGGGAAAGCCTACTAATTTGAGATGGAAAGCATATATTTCAAATTAAATATATTAAAAATATAATTAAAAATGCAACCTGGCATTGTGACAATGTCATGATAAATAATTGCTAATTATGTCTTACTTTTAATTGCTTAAAGTTTATAATTATGATTAATTATATGTTTTGTTACAACTCACTGTTTTGAACACTAACAAACTTCATAATTTATTGTAAAACTAAAATATATATAGTACATACATTCCTTTCCCTTTCAGAGTATTAATTTACATATTTAAATTCAAAAATACTATAATAGAAAAATACTAAAATGAAAATAATTTTACTACCTATAAAAGGATAGATGAATTGAATTAAAGTTAGAAAATAAAATCCAGGTTTTCCAAATGCTGCTTGTACCAAATCCTATTTAAAGACAATTTGAATTAAAATATCATATATACATAAATCATGGCATTAATAGAAAAATTAAAGACAGTTTTTTAATTAATAAAATAAATTATTATTAGAAAATATGTTTATACTATTAATGAATTAACAATATATTAATTAATAAAAATTAGTACATTTAAAAAAAATTTTAGTTTGTGATTTAATGTCACAAATTACCATAAAAAGTAATCACAATGTAGAAAAATATCAATGTTAATATATAATTTTATATACATTTTCCTTTAAAAAAAACACCATTTACTACTAAAATAATTATTATTACTACAGTGGAACCTCACTTAATGAGCATAATTCGTTCCAGAATCTTACTCATAATGCGAAACACTCATTAAGCGAAACAATTTTTCCCATATAAATTAATGTAAAATACAATAACACATTCCATGTAAAAAAAAATACTCAAATATTTTATGTATAACATTTATTCAAAGAAAATTATACAATATACATTGTTAAGGAGCTTGAATCTTCATCTTTTCTTCTAGCACAAAATGAATCAACCTGGAATGCAAATTCGATTCGCAGGGGGGAAAAAAAAAAATCACAGGTAATATGTCTGATAAACATGCCAAATGATATGCCAAATTCTTGGGCTGTGTAAAGGCTATAATTAAATATTAGAAATTAGTTACTTTGACTAGAGGTAATAGATTTAATACCAGATGGCAGTTATGCTGCCATCTGGTATTAAATTTAATAATTATAAATAATTAATTTTTAATTTAGACATTTTTAAAATTTAATTTGGAATTGGTCATTAAATTTAATACGAGATGGCAGCATAACTGCCTACCTCTAGTCAAATTAATTAATTTCTAATATTCAATTATAGCCTTTACATAGCCCAAAAATTTGACATATCATTTGGCATGTTTATTATATAATGGGCTATGGTTGTTGATGTTTATACATAATGCGTGTGAATAAAAATTTGGAAAATTGTGTGATCACAAGAGACACTAAGATGTTAGTGGAACAAGTGCTAAACACAGACTGATGGAGCATGCGCACAATCCAGAACTTCCCCTCTCTTTGTCACTTGTTATGCAAAATGTCTCTCATTAAGAGAGTAATTTTTTTACAAATTTGTTTTGCTCATTATGTGAATTACTCGTTATGAGAGGTGCTTGTTAAGTGAAGTTCCACTGTATTTTTTTGAAGGAATACATTGAAAATAAAACTGAATTTCATTTCTGGCTTACTCATTACTTAGTTTAAAAAGTTAAAAAATTATTCAAACAGCTGATATAAACATATATCACTGTCCCACCAAGACCAGTAGAAAAAGACATTGAAATGAATTAAAGGCTCATTAAAGATTTTTCATACAGAATTACATATCATTAAAATATTCAATCTCTTTGAATGAAATAACAGGCTAAAGATAACAAAGTTGTATTCTACTGACAAGCAGTTTTTAGATCTTTCTACATTAAAAATGTACATGAACAATATTTCAAAAAGAAATAGACCAGAAAATTAGCATTTGAAAAATTATGGAAATACAAAATTACTCACAAATTCAAAAATCCAGTAAGAAAACCAAAAGAATTTAATAGTAAACAAATTTTTTCAGTAGCTTTGAGCAACCATCTTCAGGTTAAAAAGAACACTTAAAAAACAGTACATAAAATGGAACATTATATTTAAATTATAAAAGAATCTACATATGATTGGATGTTGGTGAACATGTGGTTTCAATAAGATACTTAATAATATATTTCAAATAAAGCTCTCCAGGCTAGTGACAATGTGTCATTGTCTTTGTAATTGATGTCCAAGTTATTCCTGCTTGCTTTATAAATTTCCAACTTTTCAAGGTATTCAAGTTAGGAAGAATCTCTTGAATGGTGGATGAGTAGTGTCCTATGTAATTGTACATCTTCATCCAAGGCATACATAGTTAATGCTGTTGAAATTGGAACTTTATTAATTGATGTAAGCAATGTTTTAATGGACACATTGTTGCTCTAATGTATTGTAATTGAATCCTGTTGTATGATAGGAGTACAGAGTACACTCCTGAAAGGCAAAGTCTATTGTAAGGATACGTGGTGTTTCTGAGTAATACATACATAGTAGAGTTTCATTTGTAGGCTAAGGAAAACCTATTACTTTTTACAGTCTCCTGGAATGAGTGCATCAAGATCTTGTTGTACCTGACAGGTTAGAACTTGAAGTCTGCTATTCTCTTTTTTTATGTTTGGCTTTCATAGTTATTAATTTGGCAAAATAACTGTTGAATTGCCACCTGAATTATGTACTGCAATTCTTCTATCCTGTTATTGATATTCCAAGAATGCATGAATGTTCTTTTTATCAAGACTCTAAACACTGCTATTTTAAATGGGAATGTATTATATAAGATGGCAGGAATAAATATCAGATTGTATAGCTGTTTACGGTACACTGATGTAGAAATGCACTCCTCTTGTATGTTGATGTTGATATTCAGAAAATGTACCTCAGAAGAATGTTGCTGCTTTAGATATAGGTGGAGACCAAATGGATTAGAATTAATAGATTTTAAAAATTCAAGAAAATTTGGTTTACAATGCCAAATGATTAAAATGTCAGCTATATACCCAGTGTATAAGGCAGCATTATATTTGCAGGACAAAACTTTGTTTTCTGGTTGTCAAATTATCAATTCACATAACATGTTAAAAAGTGGGCTTCCTATAGGCACTCCTCTGCCTTGCAAGGTATACTTGTTCATTCAAATTGGAAGAAGTGACATGTTAAAACAGCTACTCCTAATATATTCACATGATGGTTGCATTGGTTACCGACGTGTGTAAGAAAACTTCACAGCTCACAGAAATATGTTTTTATTTTAATTGATTGGTAAAAGGATTCGAAATTGAATACTGTGATTATATATATTATCTCCATCTGTATGTTGTATAGAAGACAATAATTGTGCAGAGTTCTTAATCCCCCAGTGATAGTTTTCCAAGTTGTTGTTGATGTATTTATTGAGAATTTTTTCAATTTGTATTGTCGGTGATACTGATTTGTCTACAATAGGATAGAATTGATTACCTGGTTTGATAGATTTTTATTTTATAAATATTCTGATGGGGTTTGAAATTCTCAGTTATTCACCCTTAGATATCCAAATAGAATTACCAGGAATAATTCATGTTACACCCTTCCTTTACATCTTAATTTATTTATGTGATCTTTTCATTTATGTGATCATCCATGTACAATAAACACTATCTGATTTTGAATTGATTTTATTTCACAATTTGTGTTTTAAATTAGCCTGTAAAAATTTTTTTATAATGAACACTGATGTTCAATCTTATAATCTTCCAAAAAGAATATACACACAATCAATATTTTATTGTTGATGTATAAGGGACAGTCATCCTTTTTCTTTTTTAGGCATTACCATGTACTGTACTTTTGTAAATAAAAATTAAAAAATAAATAACTGATTATTCTTTACCTGTTTAAGCATCTACTTCTCTTGAAAAAATGAAATACTGAACAGGTATTTTCCTTCCTTTTACTGATTCATTTGATGTTGCTGTATTCATATAGGACTTCCTAATCTCTTTACATTGATTTATTTTAATCAGCTATTTACATATAAATAATATAGTTTGAAGGGAGAAAATTGTTATATTAGCCTAAGAACATTGCCTTTTCATACCAGAAATATGTCTTTATGTTCCTTTCTATTGTCTTAATATTACAATCAGATATAGCACAAACCAGGTAATCAACTCCATCCTGTCAGACAATTCGACATCACCATCAATACAAACTGAAAAATTCTCAATCAATACATCAACAACTTAAAGTTAAAAAAAAATCCATTAAAACTTCCTTTGAAATGATTATTACTGTTACTGCATCACCAATCAATGAACAAATATATAATTTATATGATTTACTCTCTTTTCTCTGCATTTCAAAGTAATTGTAGCATTTCCTCTCTCTAAATCTTTGTATGCAGTTATCACTTATGTATCTTATATCATCATTTTTTAAAATAACTGTAGTAACTTTTTGTTTTTAAATTTAGTTAGTATCATAAGTGAGAGAGTTCCGAGGATTACAAAAGCTCCATTTCTATTATCAAATTAAAAAACTTTTCTTTGGAATTTGTTTTCCTAATTCCTAACTTTCAATTATAATTTAATTAATGAAGCATAAGTAAATAGGAAAATACAGTTTTAAGTTTAATACTGCTTTTATATTATATATTTTACTTTTATGCAACATACAAAAATATTTCTCAAATTTGACTATTCAGCATAATAAACCAGCTGTTTTAATTTACTAATGAAAAGGAAAATGTAATCTCTAAACAACAGATTCAATTCTTTATCACATGCCAAAATCTAAAAATATTGAAGTTTATATTAAATACACTTAAGCTATAAATGGATAACAAAACAAATTAAGTTTTGTATATAAAGAAAAAAAATAGATACTTTTTCAATAATTTAATTAAATCAGAAGAAAAAACATTAAACATTTTGAGTTCTTTTATTTGAAGTTTCTGTAACTGAAGATGATCAGTCAAACTGATTGAAAATGTTATTACAGTAGCCCCTCATTATATCATGGATTCAGATATATCACTTTTTTTTGGTCCCTAAATTTTAAAAGCACTTGAATCAATAAATTTAAAAATAATTGCCATTGAATTTCTTTTCACAATGAAATATATTTTATTCCTACCATTGTCTTTGAAACTACTACTGCAGGTGAACAATAAATTTGTCAAGATCTAAATAAGCAAAACAGTGGACATTCAATTATGTTTCCTTTTGATATTAAAAATTGTTTATTTTATTGGTTTTACCTACTGTCTTCTCATTTACAAGTTTCTGTGAATTCAAAATTTCACAGGTAATGTGTAAGGAAAAGATTTCTTTATTTTTGAACAGAAAGTTCTAAAATTTTTATACAGTAATAATTTTATTTTGCTTTTAGAAAATTTTTACTCTCTGTAATTTTGTAAGTTTTGATGTCCAATTATATGTTCAATATTAATTTTTTTAAATTTTTGATGGACAGTATTTGTCTTTAAATATCATTATGAAAGAAACAATAATGCTAAATAGGTGTTCATGGTATAGAGATAAAGAATAGAGGATAGAGCTTCCATAGCATGTATAATATGTTTAGTATAAGACTACATGAATTTTTAATAAGTGATTTATTGTAAAATATAGTACCGTATAATAAAATCACAACTGATATTTTGTTTTTATATGGACAGTGTCTTTAAATGTCATTATTAAAAAAACAATAATGCTAAATGGGTGTTTGTGGTATCAATGTGTATGTAAATGTCATTTAATATGATATAACCACAAATAAACTTCAGTATTAAAATTTTATTATATCAAACACTTGCTGATGAAAGAATAGAAGATAGAGATTCCATAGCATGTATAATATATTTAGTGTAAGCCTAGAATTTTTAGTACTCAATTATATTGTATGTTTTCTTTGACTCCTGACAAGCATAATATAATGAGGGGCTACTGTATTTTAATAAATACATTGCTGGAATTATGAATTTTAGTTTTTACTTGCATCAACATTTCTCCAATTGAATTCACATTTTTGAAAGAAAAACATTTTTAATAAAAAAAATCTGATACCTCATACTTTGAAAAACTAACTTTGAATGCTTCAGGTTCAAAGTTTGAACTGTGCAGCAGTGAAAAAAATGCACTAAAAGCATAAATGCAATCTGCTGTGCAGCCAAGTCATCTCTTATTCTCATGTTATGCTCATATGATTTTCAGTGCTTTTTTTTTGTTTTATTTTTGGTGTGCCTGGTTGTATATATTGTGTGTTATCTATTTTTAACAATTTCTTCCTGCAATTTTTCTTTATCGATTGTTTTTGAGCACCTCTTATGTTTTGTATCCTTTAGTTCAAAATTTCCTGAATGGAACTTTTTATACCACATTTGACATGTTTGAAGTTTAGAAACATCTTCCCCATATACATTACAATTGCTTGAAGTCAATAGTCTTCATTTTTGAAACAGTCATCAAAACACACAAAATACATTCTTGCAGTTTTTGATAATAGATATTAATTTCTTGTTGAAAAGTGTTTTCTTCTGTAAAAGTTCGTTCGATGGAGAATTTTTTCAACAATTTGACTTTCTTTTTGGCTTTTTTTTTTATAAATTAATAAAATTTTGGCANAAAAGGAAAAAAAACACTGGAAGTATAGTTTATAGATTACAATACACATGTCAATCTCAATATTATTATATAGTTAAAACAGGTAGAACTTTAGGTAAAAGATTAAAAAAGCATGAAGTTCTCATATCTCTTAAATGTCTTAAACAATCACCATATCGTACAGAACAGACAAGATGAGCTGTACAATAGATAAAAATTATATAAAAATCTTACATTATGAGAATGATATATATAAAAGAAAATTTTAATAACATGTTTATGCAAAGGAAATACTCTGAACACTAATGAAGGAATGTAAATTACCAAGAAATAATGTGATATAATTTCCATGGTAGATACAGAAGAGACAATCTTCCCATGCAATTGCGAGTAATTCTAGAAACATTAAACTGAATCTGTAGAAAAATAATATAATTTGATCTAACATAAAGTTTTATTTTAAAAATTGGCAATTTATTCAGGCCAAAACACTTTTGATTTAATGTATTGGCATTAATTATTATTTGTACTTAATGTATCAGTGTTAATAACATTCTGTGTCATGTATTTGTATGTATTTGTTCTTAAATGTATGGTTGCTGCAATACAATGTAAGGAATTTTTAATCTTTATAATAATGTAAATAACTTTATATGTATTTTAAATAACTTCAGTTACAGAAAAGAGGCCTTAACATGAAAGTTGGCCTAAAATGCATTTAACAATGTATGTAACCAGCCAAATAAATTGAAGATAGAATCCTATTTTTGGATCAGCAAATTGCCAAGAGTATTCATACACCTGCAAAGGCAGGATTGTAAAGTTTAAAAAAATTATTTAATAAGAGTGTGTATGTATACTGTCAGAATTTGCATATTTTAGCACCTAGTGTACTGGCACTTGTGAATTACGTTGGTATTCCGCAGGCTTAAAGACTGCAACTCCAGAAGAAAAAATGCTTGTGTCATGTCAGACTATAAAGTTTGCTTGATGCCCAAATCCAGAAAAGGTTGCTCATCACTGGTTTAGACACTTCTATCTCAAGTATTTTGTTTTGTCCATTTCATTTATTTTATAATTATATCCACAATGAAATGCTAAAGGAAATAAAAGAAATGGGGAAGAAATGGAATATCTAAGAAAACATCTAAACTGCATATGGGCTAAGTGACATGTTTTAAATGACAACTTCAGGAGGTACAGAATATACAGTATGAAGGTTACTTTAAAGTAAATTTTAAGAAATTATTTACTGTAATACACACAATTCCATAATATAATTAAATTGTTGATTATAAATATCCCATAGATATTATAAATAACTATAGAAAGTTAAATAATATAAATAGTAGTTTGTACTGTATGTTTAATTNAGAATATTAGAATGTTGATAAAGCATGATAATGTGAAAAATGTATCTGTAATCTCTATGTACTATACAATTTAGTCTCTACAGGGTGGCACCACAATGAGATCTCGTACCACATCAAAATCTTCCTAGGGGCGGCCCTAAAAAGATTTTGAGGTGGTACGAGATCTCATTGTTCAGCCTGGTTCAGCCTGTGAAAAAAGTTCTCTTTCCAATTTGGCCCAGGGACAAAAACTGTTGGCCACCCCTGCTCTAGGGCTTTGACTACATAATTTAATTTCCTATTTTCTACCTCATGGTATTAAGCAGATATATGTGAAAAACATCATTTAAATTAAATGTGACCAGTGAAAAAAATGAGAATAAACTATATATTACTATTTCCTTAAAAATTTTCAAATAAAATATGCANGTTGTCTCTTTACAAAAAGCTTTGACCACTTCACTTTTAGAATTGTTAATTTAATGCAGCTGAAATCTAAAACTTATTAAAATACCAAGAAAAACATTAATTAATATTTTAATTAATGCACAAACAAAACAACAACATATTTTAACAATATAACAATTATCATAATGACTAATTCTAAAGTTTTTAATTAATGATCAACTTACTTGATAAGTTGACACACCAACAATATTTCCACCTTTTACTAGAATACATAAGGAATAATCTGTAGCAATAGCTATAATTGGAAGTAAAAGTAAACCCAATACAAATCCAGCTTGATTTATAGCATAAGGAATACCTATAAAGATTTCAACAGAAAAACTTCAGAAAATGCTAAATATATTTAATTAATGAGAAATATTAATCAATTTCTGAAATATGTTTTCTGTTTGTGTAATTGATTACAGAGGACATTAATTTGATTTTGAAAATTTATTGTAATAGAAACTTATAGTCTAGGCACACTTTAACTAATGCTAGCTTTAGGGCCTCTAAATTTTTGTGCCCTGGATGGCTGTCTAGTGTTAGTGTGTCTATAGCTCAGGCTGGCTTTGTTTATTGAAGCACTTTGCAAATTCTTAGCATCCATCAAACAAGGAAGGACCAAAAAATATTATCAATTATGTCTTGAGTAACATCAATGAAGAAAGCTGTAAAACTTGTGGAATCAATGCCCAAAAGAGTTACAGCTGTAATTAAAGCCAAAGGAAGGCATACAAATTATTAAGTATTGATTTTATGTTTGTGATTCTATACTTATTTCCACAGCCTTGTATGATTCCAAACTTTTTCTGAGAAGAGTTTGTTATTTTTGTCTTAATTAATTAAATTAAGTAAATTTTTCTTTTGCATTTAACTGCCATTTATTTGTTTAGAATTTGCATATTGGAACATAATTTTGTTATCAGTTGATTTCTGTAAGAAATCATACATGAAACTGCAGTAATGACAGGATAGAACTGTAAGCACCAGAAAACAAATGGTGATTCTAAACTTCTTTTCAAGGGTATTATGTGACTTAGTGTTATCTTGAAGAAAAATGGCAATTTGAAGCCCTGCCATAAAAAGTAACACATGAGGTCATAGAATTTCCTGAACATACTGCTATGCCATTAAAGTCCTTAGTACACTACTAGGGATGACAGAATGTCATATAATGTATCATCCTAGCAATGGGACAGTATGCTGCTCAACAGTAAATGCAAACTTGGAGTGCTCACCAGTGGCCTCCACACTAACAGTAGTTGTTTGTTCTAAAACAGAAGGGTTTATCACTAAAGACAATACACTGTCAGTCCATAGCAGTCCATGCTCTTCTATCAAGGAACCACAAATGAAGCCAATAATGTAGGTTGCTAATGGCAAGATACATAGAGGTTACAGTGTATTCAAATTCACCTCTGCTAGTTGCTTGCCAATAATAGTACAGGAAGAGACAGGGTTCTATAGTAGGGCTTTCATCCACTTCTGGATGAGAGACAAAGATGCCACTGCAGCTGTTTGTGCTGTATCATGATCAGACAATCATCTCTCTTGATGGTCTTTCTGGGGTGTTCAGACCCTGGTTGTCATATATATGTGTCCCCAACATCTTACTCAGATCAAAATGACCTAGATGACTAGCAATTTGACAAAATAGCCATCTTGCTTCTCTCAGCTCAATAATGCAGTTTTTCTCAAATTCTATTAGTTGTGTGTAATGTCTTTGACTGTATCAAAGAGACATTGTGCAATCAGACTACAACTGTAATCATTCATATACTTGTCTGAGATAACTCTATGTCAAGTTTTTCAGTAACCAGTACCAGACAATTCTATTTGGTTGAAAAGTTTTTCAAGAAATGTATTACCAATGGTAATTAATGTGGTTTGTTTTTATTTATATATTTTGTTATCTGCATGCACTATTTGGTTCTTTCACAGTTTATAATTTTGTGTCATCTACACATGCTATTCCGTTATAAAAATGTTTAGATGTTATTTCATTAACTTTAAATTTGTAATGTTCTGTTCTTGTTCCCTTTATATTCTGAAGTTTCAGCTTGATGAAGGTTCTGCACATATGACTGTAAATGTTAGTGTCCATAAAATCTCTACTGGATATTTAAAGATTTGGCCTTGTGATTTACTTTGTTTATCCAATTTGGTTCAGAGAAATAACCTTTTTCAATCTCTTAGGGTTTGAAAAATATTGTATTGCTCAAATGCATTTCTCTGGAATTTTAAAATATGCATGCAAAAGAAAAAAAGCAAGGTCAATAAAGATTCTACTTTAATGGTAATTATGAGATAATTCAAAATAAAATTTGGTCTGAAAAATGTAAATAAACATTCAAGAAGAGAATAGTTGATATATTTTGATAAATCTTGTTATATTATGTTATCTTTGTTTAGATTATCCATCAGTAATGAAAAGGAGATTATGTAGTACAGTCGACCCCCCTATAAGATATAGATACGTTCCAATTTATTAGAAATCCGATTTCTTACAAGTCGTTCCAATCACAGCCCGACACGTGTCAAGTTTACGGACTACAGGTTGTATGATAGGAGTACAGAGTACACTCCTGAAAGGCAAAGTCTATTGTAAGGATATGTGGTGTTTCTGAGTAATACATACATAGTAGAGTTTCATTTGTAGGCTAAGGAAAACCTATTACTTTTTACAGTCTCCTGGAATGAGTGCATCAAGATCTTGTTGTACCTGACAGGTTAGAACTTGAAGTCTGCTATTCTCTTTTTTTATGTTTGGCTTTCATAGTTATTAATTTGGCAAAATAACTGTTGAATTGCCACCTGAATTATGTACTGCAATTCTTCTATCCTGTTATTGATATTCCAAGAATGCATGAATGTTCTTTTTATCAAGACTCTAAACACTGCTATTTTAAATGGGAATGTATTATATAAGATGGCAGGAATAAATATCAGATTGTATAGCTGTTTACGGTACACTGATGTAGAAATGCACTCCTCTTGTATGTTGATGTTGATATTCAGAAAATGTACCTCAGAAGAATGTTGCTGCTTTAGATATAGGTGGAGACCNAATGTGTGTAAAATCCAAGTCGGATGTATGTAAGCTAATAAATGTTCTTGTTAATCTTATCTCGTCTTTTGATTCGTTCATTGTTACAAGAAATCTCCACACAGAGTCTCTCGAGTCTCCGTAGATATAACAAATACAGAAATCAATAACACAAAATAAATTGTAGCTATGTGTCGATTCCGCGCGACACGTCCGAACATGTAAGTTGAACAATAGTGTGAGGAAGTGAGTAATCAAGAGTTGTGTGGCGCTCAAACAAAAGACGAATCAACGAGATTTGAAAATCGTGTAACTCTGGGTTCGCGTAAGTCGGGATAGCGTAAGTCGAGGTATTACTGTATTGTACTGAATACTAGATTGCATGTATATATTTAAACAATATTACAACATTATTGCATTTTCAACAAAAAAACAATTTATGATCATTAAAAAGTAAAACTTAGCACTATTTATATTTATAGAAAATTAAAATAATAAAACAATTTCAAATAGGAGAATTTTTGTAAATATAATAAAATTAAAAGATTAAATATCTTACCCACAATTCCAGATCCAATAATACTATTGATGTAATTAAATCCAGTTTGGTGAAGATTACTTGTTTCAGTACTTTTACCAACTGGTTCATCCTAAAATAATATTTTAACAAATCAAGATATATAAATTGCTGTTATATTTAATGAATTTTTAAAATTTCATTTTTCAATTATAGAAAATACTGGAAATTAGTATAATTATAAAATACTAATTGAAATCTAAAAAACATTTTAAGTTATCAATATGCAAATTATCAGAAATGTCTAACAAAAAATTAAAATTTAGGATGCAATACTTTTACAAATAAGGAAAAAAATTATATTTATTAAAATCATAAAAATCAGATAAAAACATCATAAAATTTAAATTTATATCAGGTTTATTAAATCAGAATCAAAAATATTGTAAAATTGTCATTAAATGCTATTTAAATTCTAAGACAGTTAACCTTCCAGGAAAATTCCATGACAGATTAAAATATACAGATATACAGTAAGATGTGGCTAACAAGGTCAGGTAGGTCATTTGATCAAGCCATCTTTTTCATATTTTTGTGATAAATGTGATTTCAAAGCCTGGTGCAATTTGTGTTTGAATTAGCAGAAAGGGTTTTAAAACTTTAAATGAATGCACATAATGTAATGTTAATAGCTATAGAGAATGACAGTGTAATATATTAAATTCAAATTAACTGAAAATACAAATTATTCAACCTCAAAATAATAAAAGTTTACTATATTAAGTAACCAATGTAAAAAAGTTTTAAATGCTTAGCAATAACAAATATGCTAATTCAGTAAAACCCCGCTTAACATTGCCTCGATTAACGCTGATTCAATATAATGCAGTCTGCTTGAAGCCTAAAACACACTCAAAATTTACACTGATTCAAATTAACATGGCATTTCTTTGATTTGTATATAATATGATTATTTCCAAACATGAACCAATTAAGCAAAAGGTGGCAATTTGTCATAGTGCTGTACTTTCCTTAAATCTATGTTTGTTTAGTGCAATTTTGGAAAAAATATAACATCATGGATGCCATAGAAAATATTGACTTCGCTTGGCAAGAATTAACTGCTAAATGCATGAACGAAGTGTGGAAGAAGTTATAGCTGAAGGTATCCAAGAATTCTCAATGAGAAGAGCCTATTGCTGTATAGTTAGGTTGACAATAGGTTAACCAAATTGTCAACCTAATCGATACAGCAGGACTAGGAGATGTAGATGAGCAGGATATTGAGGAGTTACTGCAGGTTTGTGGTGAGAGCCTTACCAATCAATGACAAACTTCAAGAACTGGCAGAACAAAGAATTCATGTAGAACCGGAAAATACAGATTCTGAAAATAAAGAACCCAAAGAATTTCTCTACAGTTTTCCTTAGTAAAAGTTTGGTAAGATAACTGAAATTGTTGATCAAATTGTAGCAAATGATCCAGATTTTGAAAGGAGTGCAAAAGCAAAAAGAGATGTTTTGGATGTGATCTTCTGCTACAGACATTCACTTAAGGAAACAAAAAAGTGACAAATGAAACTACACAACTTTATCGCAAAACACAAGCATTTCAGAAAAGCCTGTATCCTCATCACAAAAAAATGAACTTTACATTTCTATGTGCATATCTTTGTGTTATTTAACATATATTATTATGCAAATTAATATAAAAATAACTTAAAATTAAAGTAAAATTTGTTTATTTTTGGTCACGTGTTCCCCTTTCCATATTTACTCTATGTTAAAATGACCTCGTTTAATGCTGTTTCACTTATCACTTTGTCATCTAGGAATGTTGCATCCCCCACATTAAGCATGGTCTTACTGTACTTATGATAAAAATTATTTTACATCATTTTTTCTTGTACATTGTAATTTATAAATAATAATGATTATGATGATTCATCTGTCAATTTATGATGAGAACAAAATCAGATTAATATATTAATTGGATTTATATAATAAAATAAAAAGAAAGAATTCAAAACTGATGTAATAATCACCACTTTAAAACAATATTATAAGACTTTGTAATATATTGATTTACAAATTTAAAAATTTTTAATAGCAAAAATACTTTCATAGTCAGCTCTAACAGTTTGAAATGTTAAATAGATAAAATATATCATTACAAATTATTTTAATTACTTTTAATATAATTTAAGCACTAAAGCATGNTAATGCAGTCTGCTTGAAGCCTAAAACACACTCAAAATTTACACTGATTCAAATTAACATGGCATTTCTTTGATTTGTATATAATATGATTATTTCCAAACATGAACCAATTAAGCAAAAGGTGGCAATTTGTCATAGTGCTGTACTTTCCTTAAATCTATGTTTGTTTAGTGCAATTTTGGAAAAAATATAACATCATGGATGCCATAGAAAATATTGACTTCGCTTGGCAAGAATTAACTGCTAAATGCATGAACGAAGTGTGGAAGAAGTTATAGCTGAAGGTATCCAAGAATTCTCAATGAGAAGAGCCTATTGCTGTATAGTTAGGTTGACAATAGGTTAACCAAATTGTCAACCTAATCGATACAGCAGGACTAGGAGATGTAGATGAGCAGGATATTGAGGAGTTACTGCAGGTTTGTGGTGAGAGCCTTACCAATCAATGACAAACTTCAAGAACTGGCAGAACAAAGAATTCATGTAGAACCGGAAAATACAGATTCTGAAAATGAAGAACCCAAAGAATTTCTCTACAGTTTTCCTTAGTAAAAGTTTGGTAAGATAACTGAAATTGTTGATCAAATTGTAGCAAATGATCCAGATTTTGAAAGGAGTGCAAAAGCAAAAAGAGATGTTTTGGATGTGATCTTCTGCTACAGACATTCACTTAAGGAAACAAAAAAGTGACAAATGAAACTACACAACTTTATCGCAAAACACAAGCATTTCAGAAAAGCCTGTATCCTCATCACAAAAAAATGAACTTTACATTTCTATGTGCATATGTTTGTGTTATTTAACATATATTATTATGCAAATTAATATAAAAATAACTTAAAATTAAAGTAAAATTTGTTTATTTTTGGTCGCGTGTTCCCCTTTCCATATTTACTCTATGTTAAAATGACCTTGTTTAATGCTGTTTCACTTATCACTTTGTCATCTAGGAACGTTGCATCCCCCACATTAAGCATGGTCTTACTGTACTTATGATAAAAATTATTTTACATCATTTTTTTTATTGTACATTGTAATTTATAAATAATAATGATTATGATGATTCATCTGTCAATTTATGATGAGAACAAAATCAGATTAATATATTAATTGGATTTATATAATAAAATAAAAAGAAAGAATTCAAAACTGATGTAATAATCACCACTTTAAAACAATATTATAAGACTTTGTAATATATTGATTTACAAATTTAAAAATTTTTAATAGCAAAAATACTTTCATAGTCAGCTCTAACAGTTTGAAATGTTAAATAGATAAAATAATATCATTACAAATTATTTTAATTACTTTTAATATAATTTAAGCACTAAAGCATGTGCAAACCACATCAATTCTCTTTTCTTCAGTCATCATGCTTCACATGATTTGCAAATAAATTATTTTATTACCATTTTCACAAAAATGGATCAAAACTTTATAATCACCCTGTGTAATTAAGATTACACTTGCACTGAAACTTTAGTTGGATTTTTCATAAGCAAAACTAATTAAAATGAATCTTAATAATGGTACGAAATGTAAATCCAATTATTTAAAAAATAAAATCTGTCCATATGTTAGTTTGTTTATAAAGAATTGATTATTGAATATATTGAAGGTTCTAGGCATGAGACATAACTTTGTAATGTAAATTATCATTAAAATTCATACAGACACATTTACAAAAGAAAATTATGGTATATAAATTGGGTTTGTAATTTTTCAATCTATTTTAACTAAAACGATGAAAAATAATATATATCTGAATATAATGTATTTTACACTTATTTATTATGCATATGTGAAAAATATTCTTGAGATAAAAAACAAGCATACATATATAAAATTATTATAAATGTAATGCATTTTGCAAAAATAAACCAAATTAATTAATTCATTACAACCAAAACTACTGTATTAAATTTTGTGTTTATATGTCACATATATGCATACCTTGTTTCCCCGAAAATAAGACAATGTTTTATATTAATTTTTGCTCTGAAAGATGCGCTAGGTCTTATTTTCAGGGGATGTCTTATTTTTCCATGAAGAAGAATTCACATTTCTTTTTGAACAAAAAAATTCCCATATCTAACTTAGACGAGAGTGACGTGTATTCAGTTGTGTCAAACTGAACTTAAATAAAACTGAAGTGAACTTACAAAGTCTTCGTGCTGGAGTGGACTTCCCACTCGCACTTCAACTTAACCTTTTTACATCATCGACATCGAGCTTGATGACCAATTAGTGCTTACTGAACTGTAGCACTATGCAAATATGATGTGGTGTGATTCCCAGCCGACCAATTAGTGATCACCAGCCATAACATTATGCAAATCTGTGATTCCCAAGCCATAGTCTTATGTGTGTCCCCAACATCTTACT